TGGCAGAGCTCAAGGAAGCAATATGTTTGAGATGTGGGGCACTGGTCCACACCCAAACCGATATCAAGGTGATGAATCTGTGCCCACTGCAGCTGGAATGCAGCACTGTGTAATGACAGTCAATGGAACAGGGAGCAATCTGTTTCTGCATCAAAATCTGCTTGTGTATCAGTATGATGTTGTCTTACTGTTGTCGAGTATGTGCCATAAACACCACCTGGAACATGAGCCTGGGTGTCTCTTATGCCATCACTTAGGGCTGTAAAATTTGGTAAAAAAAAATCATATTGCCACTGCTTAAATATCTTGTTTTTGAATAAGAAACTTAGATCCTCTATAAAAGCATTATGTTCATAATGAGACCACAGGTGTACCTCAACAGAGTGCGCCTCTCATTTCACTGGAAAGAAATGTTTATGTATGTCAACCGTGTTACACACAGTTAGCTGAACGCACAATCCATTTATAGATGCATCCTGTGGAAACATCTCACAACATAGACACCTGTGTTCGTGAAACACAATGTTTGTTTACAGCCCCTTTGCTATCAGAATTATTTGTGTACTGTTGCTTCCTTGTGTTGGATTGTTTCTATGCAGCATGGCCTTTTTCTGATATGTCAGCTTCCTGTTGACTTTTGTGGTTAACACACTGCAAAGTGAGATCATCATCATTGTAGACTAAAATAGTAGAACTGTTTTTCCAACCACTTTCTTTTCCATTGAGCGGGTCACATGGTTTGAACTTGTGAGAGTTGCAGACATGTTAAATCATAACTGGTGTGAACTACTTCCACGATTTTCAACTTCTTCCACTAGCTCTAACTAATTCCAGATTGATTTGATGTGATGTTTTACTAACACACAAAAACATTCAATGTTAAAAATTAAATATTCGGAGTATTTCTTAAACAGGTCTCAAGGAAATCTGACCTATTATACAAAGAACATAAATGCCATAGATCTGCTTACAGTTGATTAGGAATCGTATAGTGCAGAATCTTAAATATTTCTCTATATGTCATAACTTTTCTTGTTCAAATTGAAAATGTAAATTTTCACTTTCCAAAGTTAACAGTCTTCTGTTTAAATAGAATTCAGATGTTAAGTGTGGACTTTTGGAGCCTATAGTACCTGCTGTTTGATTACAGGAATACATATGATGGTGATTAAGACAATGCAAATCATCTAGTAGGACTTCAAAGAGTTTAACAACGAAAGACTGTGAACAAATGTAACTAAAGTCATCGCATCACCAAAACCAGAGTGATGATCAACAAGATACCGAGGTGCATAACCAGAGAATTTCCTACCCTGTTGAAAAGCATCACAGGGTACCACTCTAAGTTATAGGGTTATGAGTTATGACAAATCAAAATTTCATGTGATACATTAGAAAGACTTTTTTTTTAAGTACACAAAAAATCCTATTTTTAGAAATTGTGGTTTGTAGCACTATAGTATAGAAATGTACACACACACACAAACACACACATATACATATTTACAAACGTTTATGTTAGATGCGATTAATCACGATTAATCTATTTGACAGCACTAATTGAAAAAAAGAAATGGATACTTTTGTTCAGCAAGGATGCATTACACTGATCCAAAGTGACAGTAAAGCATTTCTAATGTTATTTTTTAATATGTTTACTTTCTAGAATCCTGTAAATATGTAAACATGTATCATGGTTTCCATAAAAACAATGATAATAATATGAAATGTTTCTTGATTAAATTATTTCTGAAGAATCATGTGACATTGACGACTGGAGTAATGTCATCACAGGAATGAATTATACTTTCAAATGTATTCAAATAGAACATTTTAAATTGTAATAATATTTAACAATATTACTGTTTTACTGTATTTTTAACCAAATAAATGCAGCGTCAAAATTTTTACAATACTTATGCCACCATTCAGACCAAGAGCCAAAACATGCCTCTGTTAGATTTAATTTAACTTGTTATATTATTGGGCTTTAAATCACACCTGATACTAATAATACTAAGAATTCTCACAAACCACACACATAGTACTATTACTAGGTCATGTTAATGTCATTCGAAACATGATAAGTTATATGGGTGAGTGTCTGTAACTGCCAGACTGGTTGCATCACGGCCTTTAAAATATAAAATGCTTTAAAGAATGTGAATACTCAACACGTACAAAGCGGTTAAACCTGTATTCCTTAAACAGGTGTGGCTGAAGTATCAGGAAGAGAAGAAATCCAACATTATGAGTTGGCAGAAACAAACATAAAGACTGAAACTTCCCCATATCGGCCTGACGGCTTAGAAAAATAGCATTTCTCTTTGGATCTCTCGCGGTGGAAGACGTCACCAAGACGTCAGGCTGTAATCCAGTGTAGAGGAGTCACTGTAAAAGCGGCGGACATCATTGGACTCTTAGGACCCGAAAGCCTTTTACTCATTTCCTGAACCCAGTCTTCTAACGGGGTTATTTTTAGTGTGCCGTGATTCAGCCATAAGTGCAGTTTGCAGAATTCAGGTCAAGCTGAGCCCGATTACTAATTTCAAGGCAAAAACGTGAAACAGACACGGAAGAACGAGGAATATGGCATCAGAAAGAGATTATTTTAGATTAATAGGGCAGAAGGTCAGCTCTTCATTTAGGATGGGGCTAAATGAAAGTTTTTTCATTCCTGATCGAAAGTCTTTCGTTCAGTCGCTCCAAACAGCTTTAGCCTAAATTACATTCTTGGACAGATTGGCAGAAATGGAGCTCAGTGACTTTAATAAGATGATGTAATGGACTTACACAGCAATACAAGACTGTGTTTATTCTCAATCCACTATGATTAGCCTTTGGACCAAGCTGGTCAATATAAAGTCGTAATTAAAACATTCATCAGTTACAAAAGGAGGACAAAGGGGGGCTGATGCAAGCAGCCGCAACCTACATAAATGCAAAGGACTACTGTATTTTAGCCACAAGTGTTTGCTATATTACGGCATCTATCAGTGAAATCTCTGAGGCTTCTGACAGCCCCAGGCACATTAGTACTCCTTAGACAAGCACAGATGTTGTTTTGCTGTTTCGGAGAAGTGAAGCATGACTGCACCGGCTTTAACGGCTCTGAGTACAGATGCTGACAGTCCACACTTTAAATGTGAAAACAATCAGACGTGTGTTCATCTCACCATAACTGAGAACTTTGAGAATTTGAAATGGTTAAGTGGTCTATATAGTGAGCTAGTATCTGATGGTTCTAATAGGCTATTACAATCAAGCATATACAAACAAGGGAGCATATGAGTGTGTGCATACTGAAGCAATGTTTTCTTCCATTTAAACGTAAAAAAACAGAAGGTTTTATTATTTTAAATGTTTTGTAGCTGATGTTGTAAAATAAAATAAATTAAAATCAAATTAAATAAATCCTACACTTTCCGTGACACTATAGGACTACTTTAGAGAATGGCTCAAATTAAACTAAATTAAATTAAATATTTGTATTAAATAAAAATAAAAAAAGTTAAATAAAAGCATGTCAAAATTTGTCACTACATAATTAGACTACGTAACTGAAACGTAATATTAACACCTGTCTTCCATGTATCTCTCTCAGGCTTAGCTGATATATTTCTGTTTGATACTGCTATTCCTTTTCCTTTTCCTCTCGTTTGCCTGCTCCCAATATTCCTAATTACAGACCAGCATCATAAAAAAGTTTCCTCCTTTGGCCTAAAATAGAGCAACTGGAAATACAGTCATGTCATTCATTGAACACACACATGCTACAAATAGACTTCAATGACAGAGCAGGACTTATGCACAGGTCAGGAGTGGACACTTGAAAGCAGAGCTAGACATGAGTCAGAACCTTTGACACGAATCCATTCATTCCACATTCTTTACACACCACCATTAACACACACACTCTCTCTCTCTCTCTCTCTTCCTCTGTAATGTGACCGTCCCATGCCTTGAGCAATGCAACTGTCAGTGTGGCATGACATGATGTCACTAAAATCCGAAAGTAAATGATGTTTCTCCTCTATAAAGAGAAAATATGACACAAGGATATGTGGCAGAATTCAAATGATCTGATGGTGCTAATGATGGACACCAATGCTGAGTTGAGGTAGCTAACCCAGAATTGCAATAGCCTTCAGGTATTTAAACTTGTCATTAGCTATATTTGAACAATTAACGTTCCTGGTTTTACTTAAATGAGGAAGTTATTGTTGGAAAGTACAATGCCATCACGTGTTAACAACAGAATTTGCACTCTTTCCCTGTGTCAGTTGACTTTCCATTGCTTATTATCACAAGAGAAATAACCTTTAAAAGCATCATATGATTTTTTTCCCCTTTTAAATGAAATATCACAAATTTACCACAAGAAATCTCCCTATTCCTCATAATTTCCCCTCTTCCTCTCATTGAATGCAAGGTGTAAATTCTAAATGAAGTGGATTAGTACATTAACTGATATATACTAACACATCATCGATTTGAGAATTCACTTTTCAATACTTTTCATTTAGAAGAATCGAAATAAATGACTTAAAACATAATTTATCTTGATTAGCCTATGATCTTCCTTTTCAATATCAGTCCTTTATAATGTGACGAGACTGTAATTTCCATAAAGAAGCCTGAACCTTTCATGGGCTTTCTAATTATTTACATTATTTATTTATTTATTTTTATTTTTTGTAGTAGTAGTAGTAGCCTGTTTCTTTATGCGTGTAATGATCCATAACAAAGTCTGTTCTATCTACATACATATTCCTGGCTGAGATTACAGATACAAGTTTTTGGTTTCTAATTTGATAATTACAGACATTGATGCTATGTGCTTCTTTTCTTCTTAGGACCTTCTTTCTATGACCGGCCGCTATTAACAAGAATATGTCATCTTTTCTCAGTTCAGCTGAGCTCAGATTCTCATCTCTTCTTATTTCATAAAACAAGCAGCAGCAGCATCTAGTGGCCAGTGAAAATAATGACCAAAATGACTGCCCGGTTGCCATAGAGACAAGACACGCGCTGCACGCAAAACAACATCCCTCTTCCGCAAGTAATAATGCGGTCAGCTGAGGAGAAAACTGTACTTTTATGTGCTTTAGATGATGATGTAGAGGGACTTAAGCGTCTTTTGGAAAGTAACAGTGCCACCGATAGTAAACAGCCGGAGAATATTTTGTGGGAAAAAGATGAGGTGGGACGGAATGCGCTGTTTGCAGCTTGTACGTTAGGACGGAGCGGCATCGTGCGCGAGCTCGTGCAGAACGGCGCTGACGTCAATGAATTCACAGCGCGGGGTAGGCTAATTAGCGAAAGTTTCTTCATTAAAAAAGTACTTATAGCTTGGTTAATTGAACTACTGCAGTAAAGGTTGTTGTAGATGGGGTTATTTAACACAATAAGACAGGATGGAAAATATGAATCTTATGTAAGCTAACGTTACCATGCTGGGAATTGGGAAAAAACTAAACTAAAGCTACTACCAAACCTGGTTTGCTAGACTGAGCGGATTTAAGATGGTTTCTGAGCCTGGCCAAGCTGTCCAAATCCCCTTACTTTTGTCCTCTGTAGTGGATAATTATATTGTATTGAATTTCTGACAGCATACAAACACTAGGGGCCAGATGTTCAAAAAGTTTAATCTGGATCAGAATGATCTGGATTTGGAAATCCCCTGTTTTGCTATTCAGGATCAGGTAATACTTTTGTGCCGGTTTTTCAAAGCAAAACTGATGATCACCCTTATACACGATTTTTCATATGACCATCTACAGAGCCCCTAGGGACATGGTGATGGATGGGGGGTTGGGGGTTGGGTTCATCTCTTATGATCTTGATCAAAAGATCAAAAGTTGTTTACAAATAGTGATACATAATAACACTTTAAATTAAATATATATATATTTGTTTGATATACTTACAGCTGTTTGGGGATTCTTTTATGGCTCTTTTAAATCTCTTTTTTTACTCTACTGTATAGGCCCCTGAAAGGCTTAATAGGAAGCCATATGTCTACTTCTACTTTAACAGTTAATTTTAACAATTTTAAAGTTTTATTAAATTTTTGTTCCTGAATTCCACCCTTCTGCTGGGATCAGTATAATCCAATTTTTTTGGATCAAATATATCCCAATCTTACTAAAAAGTTTTGAACAACACAAACGGATTTGATAAAGATCAAAACCAAGATTGGATTTTGTGATCTAATCTGATTTCAGAATCTTTTTTTTTCCTTCTTTTGGACAACCCATTTGCAAGATTTGACCCAATCCGATAGCCAGTTTGAACAACTGGCCCCAGGATCTAAAGCATGTTTATCAGGCATTTTGGGAGACACTAGTGAATAGAGAAAGAAATTCAATATTGCTATGAAATATTATATTATTATGAAAATGTTGCCCATTGTTACACTTATTTTTTCATTAAATGTTGCCACAAGAATACATTAATATGCATATTAGATAGTGTATATCGTATTGAATGGGACTAGCCTACCCATGTGGCCATTGTACCCACATATGCATAAAATAAAATGGTATATCAATTCATTCTGTTATTTCCATAACATTGAGAATCATCTTTAAACAAAATTTGGTTAAAAAAAATTCTGAAACCTAAAAATTGATTGGTGAATAAAAAAATAATCCCATTGTTTTTGCCTATACATGTCATTTCATGTCTTTTTTTAAGTCATGTTGTCCATAACAGAGGACATTTCCCCCCATTTGTTTAATATGCTCTAAATGTAATGGCATGAAAACAATACTTTTTTTTTTTTTTTTTTTAAACCTGGGTCTCGGAAGGTTGACCAGGCTGGGAGACCAGCTAGGATCTGCAAACCAGCTTTCTTTTTTGGCATCTATGATTTTGTTTACTCAAAAATGTACATTTTGTCATCATTTACTCACCCTCAAGTTGTTCCAAACCTGTATGAGTTTCTTTCTTCTGTTGAACACAAAAGAAGATATTTTGAAGAATGTTGATGACCAGACAGTTGACGGCACCCATTGACTTCCACAGTATTTTTTTTCCTACAATGGAAGTCAGAAGAAAGACACTCCTACAGGTTTGGAACAACTTGGGTGAGTAAATGATGACAACATTTTCATTTTTGGGTGAACTATCCCTTAAATGAAGAACTTGTAACATCCATTGACCCTGTCCATTGCACAGAAGGTCATTTAAAAATTGGAAAAGGTTCTTTAGCCCTTTAACTGTCACCCCTCTTTTTTCACATAGACATGAAAATCACTATCCAAACTTAAACGGTTGTAATTCAAGAATGCTTTGGAATATAGACCTATGGTTGGTCTTGTTTTAAAGAAGACATTTGCCAGATTATTGTAGAAGTGAATTGTGAAGTAAATACATTATGAAAGTGAAACAGAAAAAAAGTTATATAAGTTTATGACAATGTACAATACAATTATTTATATTTTATAATATATATATATATATATATATATATATATTACAAAATATATTTTACTCTAAAACTGCAAGAAAATGAAAGCCCAAAATCTGAACAAGTTGTGTTCCAAATTTTAGGTTGATATCTAAAAAAATTAGCTTTCAGTCAAGATTTTATTTGGGCGCAGTACCAAACGTTTTCACTAGACGGACAGCCACGCTTCCTTATTGACCATATAAGGGCGCCTCCATTTTCATATATGTTTTGAGTGATCTGTATTTCCATAATTTTCATACAATTTATGAAGTAGACATCCTATTCAGAAGTAGTATGGGTGGTTTGTCAGTATTTGATTTGAATTCAACCTCTAATAAGCGCATAAAAAAGCACATATGTGCGTTATAGCTCGCAGCCGCATCACAAATCGAGAATCCATAATATTTTTCTTTATATTTTAAAACATTTTCAGACCTTTTTTTCTCATAAAATTGAATTGGCATTATCTTTTGAACTCTTGGCATGAAAACAAACTAAGGTTTCTACCAATCTTTCATGATTTTTCATGTTTATTGCTACTTCAAAACTAAAGGCCTAAACACGCCTAATGAATATGAAACATTCTTGTTGGAAATTGATAAATTACAGCTCCTCTGTAATTTATTTAAATATATATATATTTAAACATATATTTAAAAAATATGAAAACTAGAGATTGTAAGCTTTCAAATGATACATAGTTTGTCAATATCACTTTAGGGTTTTACTAAGATATTATTGTTTTAAAAATATAATGGCAACCGTCCCACCTGTGAGTCAAAGGTTCTTTTTTAAGAACCGTTTACTGAAGTTCTTTTGGGAACCCAACATGGTTATTCTATGGCATTGCCATGGAAATTCACTTTTGGAACCTTTATTTTTTAGACTGTTTAAGCTGTTGCACTGAAGAACAATTTGTCAAGAAATAATCAATGTGGTTCACTGTAGGCTACTCACCATTGCATTGTTCTGGCATGTGGGGTCAGCTGGACACTTTGAAAACTTTGGTTGAGCTCAACGCTGATTTTCAAGCTACCAATTTCCGCGGAGAGAAGGCTGTTGATGTGGCCCGACGTTATGACAAACTGGACTGCGCAGAGTTTCTGGCATGGGCTGGTGAGAAAGTGAAATATTTCAGCACATAAAATCTGGTTGTAATTAATACTGAGGATTTTTTTTTTCTCCTAACAGAGGCCAAACAAAGTTTGCAAGCATTAATACAAGAAGTCAGAGACATTATCGCTGATCAAGAGAAAATTCAAGGAAAGCTCAGTAAGGAGGACAAGGTAATTCATAATTCATTATATCCATAGTGAAATAGTTTCAGATTGTCTAACACTGGGTTTGCTAAACCCAAAAAGTACACATTGTCTAATCACTGTTTGTATGTTGCTATAGAACATGTGTATAAACATCTGTTCGTCAAAATCAAACTGGATACACAACACCAAAAATGCAACAATTCAAGACTTTATTGAACAGGAGAAGCACCTCGAAGACGTACTGGCACCTATTCTGCTCAAGATTAACACACAATGTGAGTATGTGCTATATCTGATTTATATGATTTGCATATAGGCTAACAACTTGCTATTATACTTGATTTCTATATCAAACAGTGCATAATTAATTTACTCTTTTTCACTGAACGCAGTACATTTCTGCCAGATGTTCTTGTCTTTTACTTTTTATTCCCTAAATTAAGTTTTTGTGTCTTATTTATTCACAGCTGAAGCCACAATGAAGACAAGAAAGCAGTAGAACTACATTACACAGAGGCATTAATATTATGTAGTTTAATGACAATAAATAAAACGGTTGGTTGCATTTACTCAATACATGTTCTGCATTTAGTCTTTACACAGATTAATAATTAAACCCTTAGATGGACATTGTGTGATTCCTGACAGATCATTGCAACACATTGTAAAATTAAAAATAAAATTGATAATTTACATTCAACATGCATTGTACTTTTTCTAAATGAACAATAGAGGGAGACAAATGCCGCATTTCATGTTCCGCCAAATCATCTCTTAAATATCTCCAATATTGAATACATTTGTATTTATTTTTCAATCTGGGTTATGGCTGCAAAATATGTTCTTCAGAACTAAATACAAAACCTATTAACGATGTCAAAACAAAAGAAAAACGTTTTGTGACATTTTTTTGCAAGAGATTCATTAACCAGCAGATGTCGCAGACTCGATCATCAGTCCACATCTGTCTTAAAATGTCGATCGATGCGGTCAAAGTCTCAATTCGTCATCTTTCACGTTCAACAAATACATTATACATTTCTGAACTTGATGTGTAAAAAACGTCTACAATTTACAGGTAGTAAAAGCAGGACTGAAGCGGTTTAAAACATTATATGTATTGATCTATACTCTCGGTCATCCTCTAGTTTCCCCTGAATCCCAGCGCACAGGCTGGCAATGGCATGTGATTGAGGTGGAAAAGCGGTCTGGATTTTGAAGTGTGAAAAAGGGCTGTCTGTCCTCCTCACCACAGGACAGGGAGGAAGGGAGGGAGTCCCAAACAACGAGTCACACTTTAAGTGGACGGCAGAACAATAAACAGATACTTGCTGTTATTTTGATGATCTTTGCCGCAAGGACAATGCAGTAACGTTAAACTCCTGCCGTCGATCCAGGAAACCCGTCGCCTGGATTCATTCAATTATTACTGCTGTTTCCACGACCTGACTCATGGACACAGGCCAGCAACAGCAGTTCTTCCCAATATAACGTTAAGAGCTGCTGCTTGTTTCTGTTTTAATTTTGCCTGCTGCTTTGGGTTAAGAAAACTTTGCACTTTCGTATTTTTTTTGGCTTTGATAAGTTTTTAAATACACTATCAAAGTTTTATTTTACTAGTATTTCCTTGTTTTATTGTATTTTATTGCCGACAACGTAGGTACAATGTAAACACAGATTAGAGTCTCGCGTGCATAATATATATTCCGACTTTGAAAAAAGAAAAATCATGGGAAAATCCAAACGTTTAGTTTGAACATTTTCATACTGCTGTCGCTAGTTTATTCTGGGTTTATTTAAACTATTTTTTAGCTGTATGGTTTTAAACCCATTGATTCTAAACCAACACAAACGAACAGAAAACATTGTGACTGAGGTTCTCCAGCCACGCGCGTGGAAATCCACCGGACTGGAGTCTTTACCTGGACGTTACCGTGAACTGGTGTATCGAGCATGGAGACGGATTCAGTAACCGTTGGCGACGTGGACTCGGTTCAGGGAGGCATGTTTTCTTTGGACCCAGTGGTCGACGGGATTTTGATGGACTCGTTTTGCCAGCAGCAGGGATGGGTGCGGGTGTACGGTAAGTGATATTCAGTGGCCGCGCTGTCTTCAGTCTCTAGATCTGTTCAACTGAACACATCGGTGATATGAATCACAATTTAAAGATAACTCTGAACTTAAATACATTAAGTAACTGAACGATATGCGGTTTTATTTTCGATCACTCTTTAGTACAGAAGGGAATTCTGTCTTATGTTTAGCGAAGCATTGTCAGACAGCAGGACTGTTTATGGCAAGCCGTCTGACATTTAACCTATTCCTTTTTAGGGGGAGTTTGTGGACATTCATATAACTGGGGCACAGGCCACTAACTAGATGTCCAAATCACCCTTTTTTTAAATTGTCTTTAGCAGTAACGTTACATAGTCGATCAAAAGTTACACACCCAATAAAGATCTGTATCGCTGACAAACAATAGTTTTGTTTGTGGATTATTGGTAAATATCCACTTTTATTCAATTAATCACTAGCACTAATCATATTTATTATTTTGCTACTAGTCAGTGTCAATACTGACAAGTAACTGCTTCGAGACAAATAGCATTTTTTGCCATCTAATTATACTTTCAACTAGTATGAATACCAATTGTTGGTTCCCTATTAATTTTTTTTTTCTAAAAGCTATTATTTGAATATTAGTACTTATTCATTAGTTTTTTTGAAGCTGTGTCTTGTAGCTTGGTAACAATTGGAATACATATTTAGAAATGAAGGCTGGAAAAGCGGACTGGTTTACCTGTTCTGCTTGATGATGTAGGCTAGTCCCATTTAGCCAATCATTAGCAACCTCCTTTTTCAAGACGCATAACAGCTTAAAAAATCCTGAGTGGGGTTAATACTGATGTTATTTTATGTCGTAGAGTAAAACGTGAAAGTGTCTTGAGCTTGTGTTCACCACAGACCTTATTTCAGCCATTTAACCCCCCAAAAAAAAAAAACATTAACTTCTGGGCGATGGAAACGGAAGTGCTAAAATGCTAACTCGTTTCTGCATTTTAGCCTACAAAGTGATGTCATACCTGCACCACTCTATAAAATAGATAGCCTACTGGTTAGTTGTATGGATATTAAAATGGCTTGCCGTAGTAGCACAGCTCTAATAGAAACATTCATTTTCCTTCCTGACTTATTCTAGACTCTTGAAAGTCATTATTATGTGCTAATACATTATATAGTGTGCCTTATCTAGTACACTTTTACTGTTACTGCTTTTAATGTGATTTAATGGCATGATATATGATGGATTCAAATCTGTGTATATTATGATTTGTGGTTAAAGGGAAGGGCTGTGGAGAAAATCCTGGTTATACATAACAGGTTTGAATGTTGATCTGGTTGTGGATGTTTATGTCTCATCGCTGTAATAGGAGATAGGGTGCAATAGGTTTCATCGCATTGTTGACAAACATTAAAATGTGTTGTTGTCATGGTTTCAGGTGGAGTTTTAATGAGGGGTTGTTCATTTTGGACCATTTTATTCTGATTTACAAAACTGAGTAATAGTAAGCCATGGTTACTGATTGTGTTGCCAGAACAGTGTTGTTAAATAAAGCTTCTTTAAGGGTGTTTAGACCCTATAGACATGTTGCCAGGGGCTGTTGTCATGGCAGCCTGTTGTCTTCTTATTTAAGGATGTAAGTCGAAACCAGGGACTTCACATGAAAGACAGGACATCCAGTTGTGTCCATCTACTGCCACTGACTCCACATTACATTTTCCATTAATTCTGAGCTGAACCAACTAGTTCTAAAAATTATAAATCAACCAACACATTAAAATACTTTAAATACACATTAATGTACTCATAAAAATAAAAAGTGTCACAATTTACAATTTACTCTCACTCTCATGTTATTCATTCCAAATCCTTATGATTTTTTTTCTTCTTTTGCACATGGAGGTAAAATAGAGGCATTTTACCAGTGTTTTCCCCACATGCAATTACAATGAGCTACAATAAAGGGCCATACATGTATCATTTAATTGGTACATCATGACTTATGCACTACATTCCAAATTTTCTATCTAGCATAGCTCTCTTTGACATGTTCAAGTAAGTAGCGATTCCCAATTTGATCAAGAATCATTATTTTGAGAGTGACACATCTTTTGAATAGGATGGTGATCCAGTGAAGTGTTGTTGTAATGCGTTAAGAATGCTCACATTTTCTCCAGTCATGTGCTGTCCAACACCATATGACATCATTTTTTGTTTCTTTGGTATTTGTCTTTAACTCACTAAAGTCCCAATGGTGTAATCACAAACTCACAGTGAGACAGAAATGAGTCATTACAGAGTCAGAGAGCAGTCAGACCTCTTCCCCCCTCTCACATTAAAGCTTAAGCAGGGATGTCATATCATCCATAATTAAATGACCACGGCAGCTACATGCTCATCATGTTCAACATCACTTTCTCAGATAGAGTGGAAGACAAGTGAATCGTGGTTTTAAAATAATCAGCGGAGCAGGGGCTTTCGTTTTTGTGAGTTGTTCATTCAGTGACTTGTTATTCCTGGGAAGTCTTTTTCTCTGTTTAAAGCTGTATGTTTTATGTCTGGGGAAACTAATAACATAACTGTTCTGTTATAGTTCATGTTCCTCCCACAGTCTTACTCAAGGGCCAATTGTGTCCTATGTAAATGGTGTTTGTGTGCTTTAATTGGGGGGTTTGTATTGCATTAGGCAGTCTATTCGGGAATCGGGACCCTTTTTAGGTTTGTTGCTGCCTAGAGTTATGCAAGTAAAAATTTTGAAATCTATAAATGCACTTCCTTTATTCGTTTACACAAAGCTCGGGGTTTGCGGGTGCGTAGGTTGTTGTCCTGTCAGATTTGGCATCTGTTTGGGCCTGCAGGTTCAAAAAGTTCGCCTACATCCACCAAGCTTCTTACGTCATGTCCCTCATACTAAAATGAAAAGGTACGGGACGGTCTTGCCACGGTGGATGAAAGTGAATGCTGATGAATGTTTGTGAAGTTGCTGCTTAGATGTGTTTAATCTTGTAGAGGAAGCCGAGAGAGGGTGGGGAAGGGCTGGAGTGAATAGTGGGATTGTGTTAGCGGCGGGCGGCTCAGGATGTGCGCCCTGCTGCACCACCTCCCCTCCACCCGCCGCGAGCCGCTCGTTCGTTCATTGTAGCTGTCAGCAGACAGGGCTGGGGCTATGATGTAAGCAGACCATTCCGAGAATGACCTCAGTGGACTGGATTCCAAAATTCCAGAGCAACCGGCACCAGTGCGTTCATCACAGCATTCCAGAGCTGAAATAGCTCAATAAGGATGGTGTTCGGCTTCTCTCCCACACACTTTCCTTATGTATCTGTTAGTGTTAAGAATAATGTTTTCCATGCCAACTTGCCTATTCATGGACTTGTTTTGACCGTGGCCATTCTTTTCAGTGATGACTACAAAACATTTCCGTGTGGACTTTCAGTCAGAAGGCGGTGCCATCACAGCTTCCAGTACTTCTCATCTTTATGT